ATGCGCACAGCCTCAGATAGTTTAGGGACGAATTCAATTCGATTAAAAAAAAAAAAAAGAGAGAAGTAAATTCGGCAGCACTTTAAATGTAGGAATTAAAGCAATCTCAGGAAGAGGGCTACTCCGATCCGTAAATCAATCAAGGGTTGCATTTTCCTATGAGATTCCTAATTCAATACTCACTTATATCACCTCAGACTCATTTAAGTCTAAGAAATGATGTATTTATAGTACTTGTACTATACTAGTCGCATAAAGTTTAGCAGATGATGACCGAGCTACTGATCCACTATCACGTGACTTGTGCTATTTTAGCAGATGATGTATTTACGGTATCAATATTACATTTTTACAACTGTTTGAGATTCGAACTCTTGGTGATTTCGATCACCAAATCACTTCTTGTGGTATTATTGAACCTTAGAATCAATGAGGCCTTAAACTTTTAAATTGCGGCAGGTTTCATAAATAATCACATAACCCTAAACCTACTAAAATGATTTAATTAGTGGTGGGATCGAAGAAATGCGGTTTTTTTTTAATTTATATATATATATATATATGTATGTATGTATGTAGGAAGCCGAAAGGCTTTAAAATTGAAGACATGCGATTAAAACAAAAGCAAAGGAAAAAGAACAGCAAAACACAATTGGGCTTTTCGCTCATTCATGGATTGGGAATGATCTTCGTTTTGCATTAATTAGTATAGGCCTTTCGGCCTATAGTACAAGTTGTGCAGGCCGGTCCATAATAGAGGCCCCACTTGCATCCCAAATAAGGCTGATAAGTCTTAATCAATCCACAAGTTACAAATTTTTTAGAAGGGCGGGTGAAATCCAGCCATAACTGGAAGATAATGTATCGACGTATGTATGCATGCACTTATTATTGAAAGTACAAATACAAAATGATTCTTACAAACCTAAAAGGTAAAATATTTAAACCCTCCGTCCCAAAATGATCATCTCAATCAATTCTCGCAAAGAATATAACTATGATTTGAAAGGCTTTGATAAATTAGTTGGACGCTCTTACTTTATGCTTTAATATTTCCACATCTTGCTTGCTGTCGAATTAATTAAGCATGGCCACGGAGAAGTAAATGTGTGAATTGAACCTTATATTCTCCTCAGGTGTCTAACATGAGAACTTCTTGTGGGTTTGGCACAAATCACCTAAATTCGCATATGTAGATTACACCATTGATTTGCGAATCCAACTTAGTATATCACTTTTGATGACATTCATTCTGATCTCTGATAAGCAAGAAAAAAGACAGCTCCTGAGGAAGAATTTAACTGTATTTGTCGTTAGAATTAGCCACTTTTTCTGTAGAAGTCATATTTGAAATTGAAGTACCGCAAGAATTGAATTTAGTTTAGTCAGGAATATAAAAATATATATAAATGTCAAGCCGTAGACGGGCTAACAAAGTCGTAGAGCATATCAACACGTTATTGACTTGTCTATATTTAGTTGGCCAAAATGTCGATGCCATTGTGAATGTCTTCTTCTATCTTCAACAAAATATATAAGACTTTTAGGTTTGATTTTCACATGATCCCTTTTCTTTTTCTTTTTTGTTTCCCCTTTTTTGCTAAATGCATGATCTGTTTCCCTTCCCCTGTTTCACAATGCTTAGTTGTTATCTACACGGATCATAGTCTGATATTGATAGTACTTCCTCCATTTTAAAAATATACGTCTTTCTAACAATTTTATCAATGCCTATGAAACAATAATAATGTATTTCAAATATAAAAATACATTTATTTATTATCGATACAACTTATCACATCAATACTATTTTATTTTTAATGCAAGGGTAATATCAAAAAAAATGAGATAAAAATTGCCTCAATTTTATAAAATGACATGCATTTTTAAAAAAAATTGTGAACCCTAAAACAATACGTATTTTAGAATGGAAGAGTACTACTTACCGTATTCCTGGAAGGCGATCCTATATTGAGAAGACCTTTGGAGATTATAAAACACCAATTTAGTCTTCTTTTTCTTTTCAACACTGAAAAAATTTTCGCGTAGTAAAAAAAGTCGACACCTCCAAATGGAATCGGACAATCAAAACATAGCGATTTTAACACTATGCTAGGGATTTTTGGTTTATATATATATACTGTGGAAACTTTCGCTTTAGTCTACAATGCCTCATTTCGCAGGGGAGGCGAAATGTCAAAAGATAACTTGTGTAGTATACTATGTTCTTGGTGAAGACAAAATATACAACCTCGAATTAAATGATAAACCTAATTTTGCTAAAGAGTCTGCGACTTCGTTCCCTTCGCGTTTTATATGTGAGAACTCTACATGCCATTGATGTTTACGTAGAGATCTAATTCTAAGCAAAACATTACTGGAAGCAAAAGATGAGTCTTCCTCTTCTTCCAGGTTCTTGACTGCAGTGGTGCTATCCATTTTCGGGTGTACCTGTCTGAATCCCAGTTGCCAAGTTATTCTTAGACCAAAGAAAGCTCCCCAATAGTCTGCTTCAAGAACAGAACGAAGCCAACCTTAGCAGTGTATCCGGATATCCATAAGCCCTCATGGTTTTAGGACTCCTCCTAATGCCCCCTCCTAAGAAGCAGCATAGACGGCACCTGGTAATATTTAGAACCCCAGGTTACATGATAACCCGAATTTTGCAAGGAGTCCACTATTTCCTTCCCCCCGCTTTTACTACTTTCTCGATTTATACATACATTCTTCTCCATATTCTCGCGGAGCCTTTTCGGTTGTATGATGGGCAAAAATTCCTTTAGCAAGAGCCATTGGAAACTAAAACTCAAGATCTCCAAACTTTAGACAAAAAAGAAGGTACTGGGCTCCAGTACCTTCACTGCAAATAATGCAGCAACTTGAATGACAAACTTCTTTTCTGTCCATTCATTCAGCAAACGGAATTCAGCATCCAAAGTTACATACATGTATGCAAGAAAAAAACAGCAGGGTGAGGACAGCTTCCTTCTGCAAGTTCCAAGAGCCAACTTAATCATTTCTTTTATCAAGCAAATCAAGTGTTATGCTAACACAGACATCAAAACTACAAAAAAGTTTATGCGTAAAAGAAGTTTATTTGCAGAATTACTATTCGGCGACATATGTACCATGTGAAGAAGGTGAAGGAAAAGCTTAACATACTGGATGGAGACTATACACTAAAGCGAAGGAAGAAAGAGGTACAAGATGCAATAAAAAATTTGACAGGAGATCTGGCCTCCATACATTTTATCATCCGTTCATCCCTCTATCTCATTTAACAGTTCAATCACAGAGGTGCTTGTATCATTAACACTGGTATCCCCTAGGGCCCTGCAGAGAGCCAACTCATTTTTGAGACTTTGCACGAGCTCATTCAATTTATGAATGCTCCGCTCTTGTGATAGAATAATCTGCATCCAGAAACCCACATGGGTTATGAGAAATCACGATCTTAAATCTCATATTTAGGTAGACTTAGTGGCAACATAGAAATGTAAATGCAAGCCCGCTTAAAGAGCTGATCAGTAGAAGTTTCTATACAGTTCCCAAAGGAGAAGCACTAGCATTTACAGGTGAAAAGAGAAATTTGTAGGATTACTCAATGCAAGATTATTCCTGGCAAATGCCAAGCTAGCAGCAATGAGTTTCGAGTTTTAGCACAAAGAAAATCATTCTTCACCAGACTACTGCTAAGGACATCTAATGATATACCTCTAAACTTTAAAGTGTTCTACAACTTAAACAAATAACAATCTTGCAATCCATGGAAGCATTAATCAGATTTTCCAACTTCTCCTGAAGCCCTTTTTCATTTTACCTCCGAAAAAGAAAAGACATCCAACAACAAAATAAGCTCCAGAATAAATTGCCCAACAGTCAACCAACGACGGAAATATCAACAGCTAACAAGAGTTTGATTAGAGAAGGGCAGGCAAAACTTTCTTAGAGACATTTGTGATTAGCTGATATCTCCATCGCATCTCAACAACCTATAATCCACTGTAATACGACAGCAGGGCAGTTCTAATGTCTTTAATCAGGAAGAGGAACAATTTATTCAGACTTCACGCAGAAAACATGCCAATCACTGATCAGAAGACTCAAACAAAATGATCGTCTTTTCCAGATTTTTTTTTAAAGTGGCACAAAACAGCTAAGAACTTTGTCAAATTAAATAGGAATAACTATAGCATAAAAGTTAATTACGCGAAAAGAAGAAGAGGAACATCACTGATGATTCAGCTAAAAAGCATTCTGCAAATTCTAAAATGAATGCTTCATTACCAAAGCCCTAAAACCAGAAATGTACCACTGTATAAAGTGACAGTGTAAAAAAAAGTGATGATGCTACTTAGCTTATAGTGAATGAGGGAATAAAAGGGTATCTCACTTTCTCTTTGAGGAGAGAATCTCGAGATTCCACCCATCTGTAATTCACGAGATTTGCCGCAGTGACGGCGGCCACCAGTCTGTCTGAAAACGGCGGTTTCAACTCAATCCGACTGGTCAAAACAATCATCATCAGCAACAGCGCCACCACTAAGGGTCTCGACATTCTTGTTATTAATTCCGGTCAACCCTCAGAATCCAAAATTGAGATTTCCACAATCTTTCTTCCTAAATTTCCTTCCTTTTTTTTCCCCTTCAATTGAGCTTGCTGGACGGGAAATTAACCTTAATCTCAGCTAATATATATTGCGACTTCCAGTAACCTCGGGGGAACAACCATTGAAGCAACAAGGAGAGTTTTACGAATAGGCCCCTTTCATTTTCGGACGGGTCCCACCGCCCACGTACTCAACCCGTTCACCGAACCCGAACCCGCTTTGTACAGAAAGAAAAGGTATAATTCATAATTGTCCCTCCGAAACAGCAAAGGCTGGGAAAATCCCAAGATCGCAATTTGGCTCTCCACGTACACAGATCAAGAGAAGGAGAAAAAAGAAAGCTTTAACAATTGCTGCCTTGGAATAGTGAAGGAAAAAGGAGGAAGAAAAATGGGCAACTCAGAATCTTCATCAGCATCTTCATCCGATCCTCGCTTTAATTCTGCCTGCAGGTTTCTTTCTTCCTTTTGATACGGTTGTTATTATGATTTTGGATATGTACTGGGTTTAAGCGTCTTTAATCGGGATTTTGATTATCAATGGCAGAGCATTTACGCATACTGAACTGGAGGACCTCAAATCCCTCTTTGCATCTCTGGCTGCCAAATCCCAGAGTAACGGCCAGTATATCAGTCCAGCAGTTTTCAAGGTGTCCCTTTCTTTCTTCTTCTTCTCTTCTAATTATGATCCTGAATATTTTTGTTTTGCCCGTTTCAATACAATGAGATGTTTGTGTTGTTAGCAGGAGTATACTGGAATTGAAGGGCCCTTGGGAGAAAGACTGTTCGGCTTGGTTACTCAGAAACAAAATGATCAAAAGCTTACCTTCCAGGATCTTGTTGTTGCTAAGGTATCTTGCTTCTTACTCGTAGTAATTAGTAACTTAGTACTATTGCTCAACTTAAGTAGGAGTTTCCAATTTAACTCAACTGTCACATTGCTACTGCTTAAAATTTTAACTCTAGATTGTTCTGCATTGGCACCAATAGCTCTAGTGCTATTAACTCATTAGAGCTTCCAGAGAATGAAGCCAAACACTTGCATTCAATTATTAAAGAACTCAGCCTTTGTTTTCCCAGTGGTAAAAATATGAATGAATTTGAGAACTGCTTGTTCTTGGTTAAATTTCAGTAATTTAAGCTGCAGTCCATACCATTCCAGAAGGCCAAAAACAATTTTATGCTCAATTTAGTTTTTTGCTCACTCTTTGCAGGGTACATATGAAAAAGGAACAAAAGATGATATTGAAGAGTTTATTTTTCAACTGTTAGATGTCAACAGTGACGGTGTTGTCACAAGGTAGAATACTTAACTGTTTGATCTTTACTGCTGGAGTCTTTGTTTCGTTTTTTTGGTTTTTTCCTATTCATATGGACCATCTGAATATATAAGGAAAGATGTACTTTAATGTTTTAGAATGGGTGCTTGTCCTCGGTCTTTCCAATAGCATTATCATTCCTAGCGCGTGAAGTTTTGTCAAAGCTTACGTATTCATCTGGAAGGGAATTTGATTGGTATTCGTTGTGAATTGTTGGTGTTGCATTGTCTCTTTGTCTAATTTCCTTAAACTTGAAATCAACTGACAGGTCTGATCTTGAAAGTGCTCTGGCCACAATGCAGAGTTGTATATTTCCAGGCCCGGGTTCTGTTGAATTTGTTGAGATTTTACTGACTGTGGCTACTTTTGAGAGGGATGATAGTCTATCCTTCGATGATTTCAGAAAATGGTGCAACCTGCTTCCATCTGTTCGGAAGTTCTTGGGAAGTTTGCTGATGCCATCCAACTCAGGTTTGAATATGCTCCGGTTATCCTTTCTCGTCTTAGTTTGTCCGAAGTCTAGTCTTTTGGAGCAAATTGGAAATATAATTAGTTTGATATATATGCTTGTACTATATCACCCTAGCTTTCTTTGTTGAACAAATTTCTCCCCAAGTCGGCCATTGGTAGGAATTGACGAAATAATAAATTGCTTGTTGTACTCTTTTTCCTACATTTAGGTCTTTCATGGATTTATTATTGGAAGGAACAGTTTGTCTTGTTTACTGATATAGTTGGCAAATGCACAAAATGTATTTTGATCTGTTACATATACCACTAGATACAGAAAGTTCAAGTTAACATCTTTTCTTTTGCCCCTTCACACTGTATATTTGTTATGTAGGCTCTCAAGTTCCAAAGCTGATCTGCCTTGAAAGTGTTGACCCCAACCTAGTGTTGTTAAAGAGGGAATATGCTTGGGTTATCGGGGGAGCACTTTCACATGAACTTGATGAATGGAAACTCTTGTACCACAGTGCAGTTCATGGCCAAAGTTTCAATACATTCCTTGGGAAAATATCGTAAGTTTTCATTTCCTTAATATATACTCCCTCCGTCCCATAATTATTGTCCTGTTTGAGTTTTCATTTTTAGTTCAAACTGTACTAAAAGTGAAAACCCAAACTGGACAATAATTATGGGACGGAGGGAGTATATGTTTTTGCTTGTACATGGTGTATTTTTCTTCCATTTATCACCAATCTTTGTCCAACTATCATTTTTTTTTCCCAGTGGGAAGTTAGATTCCAAGTCCATTTAGATCATGTTAGAATATATTATATTATTTAGCAGTTGATGATTTTGAGCTCTATAATTGGTCTTTGTTCAATGTTTGTCAAGTCTGTGACAATCTTTTATGTTTCTTCTCCTTACGCGTATATTGCTAAAAATGAAAATCTTCCATAGGTTCCCATTGAATAAAGTTTAGGCTAGACAGGGAGTACACGCATACAAGCCAGCTTTCTAAAGTGTGAAAGTCTGCGTCTTTTTCCAAAGGAAAATCTACATGTCTGTAAGAAACCAAGTTATGGATATTAGAATATGTGCAAAAATCCTCTTCGCATACTATGTAGTTTCCTCTCCTATTTGAGTTTGCTTTACAACCTGCTAGTACTATTCAAGTAGGAGAAGGAGTTGGTTAATTATTCGATTGTTCTTCAGAAACAATGAAGGGCCAACTGTGTTGGTTATTAAGGATAGAGAGGGTCACATATATGGAGGTTACGCTTCTCAACCTTGGGAAAAGCATGGTGACTTTTATGGGGACCTAAAGTCGTTTCTTTTCCGGTTGTATCCAAAAGCTTCAATATTCCGCCCTACTGGAGCAAACCACAATTTGCAGTGGGTAAGTTACATATTTGATTCATCATCCAGAAGATGATCTTTTAGTTGTATTATCTATTTGAGAAAGTTTGCATTTACTCATCATAACAGTTGGTAAAAGAAAGGTTTCCAATGTGGATACATATTGCTCTCTTTTTAAATCATTGGCAGTGACAATATTCCTGTTTCCCATAGTGTAATACCACTTAAATTAATGAACATAGCTTGCAGTGTGCGGTGAATTTCAGTTCAGACAGCATCCCAAATGGCATTGCTTTTGGAGGGCGGGTTAATCATTTCGGCCTGTTCGTTTCAGCTAACTTTGATAAAGGGCACACTTTTGAGTGCACAACTTTTGGCAGTCCACCATTGTCAAGGTCCAGCAACATACAACCGGAAGTGATAGAATGCTGGGTAGTATTGCAGAAGGGACCTCAACAAGAGATGCCGGAATCCGTTAAAGGAACTGTGTTGGAGAGGTTTAAAGAGGATCGTCACATGTTGAACATGGTTGGGCTAGCCAACTCAAGCGAATGAACTAGATTATTGGATTTGATGATCTCGATATTTACATGTAACTAGATTGTTAAAGGTAGAGGTTTAGCCTAGGTAGTAGTAGGTAGGTAGTACAGAACAAAGGCATACCCGAGTTAGGTGGTTGTTCAAAACAGAGTGGTCTAATTTTTTGTGCCATCCTAAGATTGAAAAACACAATTATATTCACAAGGTCACACAACATTATATTAGAGTTTTGGATCAAAATTTGTTGTGAAATTGGAACCAATGACACATAACTTCGCAATGAATGAAAGAAGTCAGCTTTGCATCAAATCAAAGCCAAGGAAATGAAAAGCAACAGTTCACTCTATGATATATGCACCAGTTTTCGTGTCGATAGCAGACTGCAAACTTAAAATTAGGCTGCCATTATCACACAAATATATGACCTGTAAGAAATCCCTTAGATCGAGAACTCATCCAAAAGCATTCTATTCTTCATATTAAGCAATAAACAAAGAACATGGGAGAATTTCCTAAGATTGAGAACTAATCCAATCAAGAACGGATTTGAACAAAGACCTTCAATGTGCCGGACTCCACAGAAACTATTCTTCATATACTAAGCAAAAAAGGAAGAACCTGGAAGAATTCCCCAAGATTGAGTACTAATCCACTCAAGAAGGAATTTGGACAAAGACTTTCTAATATGCCATTTACTCCACAGGAACAAAAGCCCCGTGTCATGTCTTGTGCATAAATTAACCAAATACTGGGAAAGCCTAGCTAGAATAGTTACAACTAGCACAAACAAAAACTAAAAAACCAGTGCTAGCCTAGACCAGCTTGATTTGTGTTAAATGGGAACCAATCTGTAGAAGAACACAAGGATCGGAGTAAATGCAATACTAAATTGACACCATTCCAACAAATGACATCATTACTAAACTAACTCCTCACCTCAAGGCCAAATTCTCAATAATTTATCCAGCAAAATAATCAAATAATCTGATCTTAACCTTGGATGATTAGCAAAAATCGCACAAAAAGCAACGGGGCTACAAACTAATGGCGGATAAAGAAACTCAAAATCGAAGCAACATCAGGTCATCCACCACACCAAAGGAGTAAAATGAGACAAGAAAACTTAACAAAAATTCCAGCATTCCCAGTAAAATATCCTAAATTCTCGAAATTGTTCCAACGATAAAACTTAAAATACTTCCATAATAACAAAACCAAACAGGTCCAGGTACCACTTTTAATAATAATAATAAAGTAAGGCCTAAAAAACAACAAGTTACTTGAGATGGAACATAGGAGGAGAAGCCCAATAAACAAAACTCAAAACGCCACCGTTTAATATCTCCTACCGCGACCACCAAAAGCCATAGGCGGAGCGGACATGACGGCCTGCTCCTCCTTGAGAACAATACCAGGCAATTCACTCATACCCATGACGCTAAGCAATTCAATAGTCTCCTTGTCAACCTCAATCCTGTCGGTCTTGATGGCGGACTCATCAGGGACGAAGTCCATGCGGCGCTCTCTCTCCTCCTCTTGAAGCTTGAGCGAGATACCCCTAACCGGGCCCTTCTGGATCCGTTTCATGAGATGGGTGGAGAACCCGGCGATCTTGTTCCTGAGCCTCTTGGATGCGATGATGGACACCTCGCCGAGGACCTTCTTGTTGGTGTGGAAATCCAGCGTCATCTTGGAGTAGTAACGCTCGATGACTTGACGGGAGGACTTCTTCACGGTCTTGGTACGAACACGACCCATGATGATTCGCTAGCTTGAGTCTGCAGCGCGGGACTTTGGAGGGCTGAGGGGGGAGCGGCTGAAGGAAGCTGCGAATGCCGGAGCAAAATGAGAATTACAGAAGCAGCTAGGGTTTGGGGAATGAGAGTGAGGATTTTATATCGGCGCTTGTCTAGTGTCTTCCTTATTGGGCTAGATGGATTCAGGGTTTTAAGTGATTAGGCTAGTTAGCCCTATCAAAGTGGGCTGTAGGAAGATGCAAGCAAATGAGGCCCAGATAGGTTTCTCCAAATGAATAATTGTAACGGGTTTTTTTTTTTTTAACCATAATAAAATAAAAAAGAGAGGAAATAACCAAAAAAAAAAAACTTTTTCAGATATGACCAAAAAAAAAAAAAAAGTAAGAGTTGATTTGTCGATTGGGAACACCCTCCAAATATGCAAAATGGAAAAAAAGATGTAACATAAAAGAAAAATAGTACTCCATTCGTCCCCAAATGATTATTTGGTTTAAAATTTTACTTTTCTTTTCTTTTCTCTTTCTGGAACTGCTTCTTTCTGAATTTATCTGGCACATTTCTATGTTTTTATGCTTCTTTGTTTTATTTATATCTATAACACATGAGTTTGCTACTGGAGCTTGAAGGAAAGGAGGATTTGCTACCTTTAGAGATTAGAGATATCAGAAGAGATGTTGTTAGTGTTAAAAGTAAGTTTATATATTGTAAAATAGTTAAGGTTAGTAGAATTGAGGTAGGCAAAGTAAATCAGGTGGCTAGGATGCTATCTAAAATGTAAAACTGTTGTTTCATTATATATATGAAAGTAACCGTGTTTTAGTCAAAAAAAAAGAAAAAAGAAAACACGAGTTAATATTTTCGACTACAGGTTTCAGACATGCGAGTGCAATTGAGTAACAAGAATTAATTTAGTCGTGGTTCCAGTCTTCAGACATTTTCGACTATAGGTTTCAGACATACTATCCTAATAATACATTTTATTGTACTATTTTTCTTTAATAATAGTAAGAACGTCTAAAAAGAGACAAAAGAATTTATACACTCTGATAAACAACCCAAATGAAGTTGAGTGAAAGAAAAGATTTTGCCATACTAGTGAAAAATTGGAGATTGTAAGCTCCTCATGATTCAACTCATCTGAACAACCAAAGATACTTATATAGACAAATCTTATAAAAAGCAACCCCACGCGATTGGAAGACAAGATCAATACAGAAAAGCGACACAATCAATCATCATTCACAATTTCACAAAATATCAAATGTGGCACAGTTTAGTTTGTGCGCTGTAAATATAACCGAGTGGACTTCAGGGAGCTCTAGCCATCATCGTCATTTTCAAGGCAGCCATTGGTCGTGCTATATCCACCGTCAATCACCAGATTCAGGCCGCTAACGTATTTGGATTCGTCGCTTCCAAGGCACAGTGCCGCTTCCGCCACGTCCTCTGTCCCGAGATTTACTTGTTTCCTCTGCCTCTCCCACATCCTTCAAATCTAATACATTCAATTAGCATCGGGGTAGGAACGCCCAAGTTCTTATAGCAAGCCCGACCAAAGCATTCTTAGATGCTAGATAAGGATAATGGGCATCCCCAAAAGTAACAGACCAAACGCTCGAAGTTATGATTATGGATCCCTTCTTTGCCGGGACCATAACTCTAGCAGCGTGTTTGGCGGATAAGAATGCACCAAAAACATTGACGTCGAAAACCCGTCTGAAGTTTTCGTGATCGGAAGGAACATCATCCTCATTTACCACTCTTAAATCCGATGAATTCCCAACAATTCCGGCGTTACTAAACATTATGTCTAGCTTACCGTAGTTGGAGATTGTTGTATCGACTAAATTCTTAACATCTGATTCTTTGGTTACATCACAATGGACGTAGTTGATGACAGCCCCCTTGGATTTAAGCTCTTCAGAAATAGAGTGTCCCAAATCATCTTGGATATCAGCAATTACAACCTTGGCTCCTTGCTTAGCAAAAAGCCTGGCAGAGCGTTCCCCAATTCCACTTGCGCCGCCGGTGATAATCGCTACTTTTCCTTCTGGCCTCAACTTGTATGATACCAAAATTAAGTATGAACTAATCAACTCACAAAGATTGAATCTAAGTTATTTAAGCCCGTTTATATACCTTCTGGATATGGCCGTATAAGAGTCTGAATTAGTAGCCATCTTTCTTCAACTTCAACCTGCAACTTCCAAGTTCAACGATGGAAGAAATGATCGACTTACTTTTTATTATTAAGCAAAATTCTTTAGTTTGGGTTTTTGTGTGGGTGTTTTGTTTCGCAATAAACTAAATACTCCAATATGCATAATGGAGGGGAATCTGATTCCGCTGACAAACTACAAAACCCGACGAATTAACAAACTCAAATTTTATTTACTGGTGGTGTCTTGACAAACCGGGAATGGCCCTCACGGGCTTTTAATTAATCACGGTTTATCCTATCCTACCATCGGATTAGCATAGCATATTCGCCCACTCTGTTTCCTTCTCTGGCCCCATGATTTAACCACGACGTCTACATTTATTTTCAAAAAATTGATAAAGGTGTCGGTCAGTTTAACCATGGCCAAACTCAGGTATGAGCGTGCATCGGTGATTAGAATACTTGTGGGAGAAATTTTGCCTTCTGAAAGAGACTTACTCGATTCTAATTCGGATTAACAAAATTAATCAAAGAAAAAAGTACGCTAACCTTACCGTTTTCACTTCGGAGTTGATGACCAACCAAATTTCATATCAAGTCCCAGATTTTATTCAATTCGTAATGAAATTCAACGCAATCAACAAAAAGTAACTCTCATTATGGCTCTCCCCGTCTCTCTTTTGCCGAGGTCGTGTTTCTGCAACATGCCAAATTTGAGCAAATATTTCTTATCTGTAACTATGTTGCTCTTGTTATGTTATGGATACATCACACTACTAAAACAAAACAAAATGAACAATAAGATCCAGATTCACTATTGTAAATGAAAATAATTGATGTATCACCAAAAAAAACATAAATTCAAAAAGATTGTGTCAAAGTAGTTGTAACAAATCACAAATGAAGTAATCAAATTCGAGCTTCCAAAGCAAACACAAATGAGCGATGTAGTGACTCTGATCGTACACGACAAATTAACATTTTGCCTTTTGGACTAGATAGGGGGAGTGAGAAAAAAAAAAAAAATCAAAATCAAGGGAACATTTTCTTTCTGGCAACTTTCAAAGCAACATTGGTTGTGCTATAGCCGCCATCAATTACAAGATTTATCCCGCTTATGTACTTAGATTCATCGCTTCCGAGGTACAACACCGCTTCTGCAACATCATCCACTTCGAGGACCGCCTCTTTGAGATTCGCCATTTCACCGACATATTCCTCTGTTTTCTGCTTATCTTTCCCCAACAATTTCTGCAGCATCGGCGTTGCGACTCCAAACGGCGAAATACAGTTCACCCGAATCCCAAATTCGCCAAGCTCGACCCCCAAGTTCTTCGTCAGGCCAACGATCGCGTGCTTCGACGCGCAGTAGGCGTGAGCAACGTAACCATAAGTCTTCGTACAGAGACTGGAAGTGAAGATGATGCTACCTTTTCTGGCAGGAATCATGACTCTGGATGCGTGTTTTGCGCACAGAAACGCACCAAACACATTGACATCAAAAACCCTTTTGAAGTTCTCGTAATCTGTATCGGCACCAAGAACTACGCCGTTCGGTTTGCTCCCTGAAATTCCTACATTACTGAACATTATATCCAGCTTACCGTGTTTTTCAATGGCCGTGTCCACCGCATTTTCCACATCTGATTCTTTGGTTACATCACAACGAACGTATGTAATGGATTCTTGTTCTTGGAACTCCTCAGGAGCAGAGTTTTGGATATCAGCAATGATGACTTTAGCACCGTGTTTGGCAAATAGCATTGCTGTGCAATGGCCTATACCACTTGCGCCACCAGTTATGATTGCCACTTTGCCTTCCAACCTACAGCAAATTAATATGTAAGAGTTTAAGCATGAAGATGGGTTTGATTTTTTTCCAAGTGATTTGGAATTTTTGAGCTATCAGAAATCAAATACAAGATGCTGACCTTCCGGTTATGCCGCTGCCGGACGATGAACCTACAGGTGTTGACATCTCCATCTCTGGAAATCTTTCACTAATTGGAGCAGAAGTTACAGAACTTGTGTTGTATATATGAAAGTGTTTATATGCAGAAACAAGTAACTATGGTGCAAAGCGTGCCCACTACTTGTGATCCTAAAGATAATCAATCAATCATCCAATTTTTTTTTTAAAGGAAAATCACGCTGGCACTCGTACGAGAATAGATAAGATATGTTTCAATTCCATCTCTGAATTAAAATTGAATTGGCTGTTTTTGTCGTCTCACTGCAGGGGTGGAGCTACATATAAACATAGTGGGGCAATTGCCCCAGTTGAATTTTTATTTTGTGCTAATCACTCCTTGTAAATTTAAGAAAACTTTTATGAAAACACAACTTTTGTCCACCTAATTAAATTGAAAATCTAAAAGGGCAAGTATAATAAACTAGAAAAACAAAAAATCTTGCCCCAACACATTGTTGGGGCTTGGCTCCGCCCGTCTCACTGTATCAGATGATTCCTGCAAGCCATTCCTATTTCACAAGGTTACCAAAGTAAAAGATACCTTCTTTTTTTTTCTTTTTTTTTTTGCATAGATATCGTATATCATTAATAGTTGAAAACAATTATTTTTCTTTAGGGAAGTGCTATAGTAGGCATGCATGGGCCATATGAACTCACCTTTTGTCTGGTCTGTTGTCATGACTCAGTAGTTTATTAATCAATTCAGGAATGCCGCCTAACTAGACATCATGGATCTCTAATCAAGATCATCAGCTATGTAATGCCCACAGCAAACAATACTGGAAAAGCTCAACATGCATTTCATAACGGATTTAGTTACATCATCGTCCCTTCAATCATCCAAAAAACAACTCGGGAACTCATATATTGCCGGATGAAACAGTCTAGCTCCATCCAAGGGCACACGACACATTCTGCGTTGACTTTCTTCTTGCTGATTGTTCTTAATTTTTTTTTTTTTCGGTACAAATTGTTCTTAAAAATTTATTCGTTCCTAATTTTTCCAATAAATCGGGTAATTTTTCAATAACTGGCCATAAATACAATTTCCTCCTCATAATAATGGCCATGTTAATTTGTTGTTCTATTTTGGTATAATACATGTGACTATTATTTTTGGTAACGTGGGGAACACATACTTTGAGAGATGGTACATATCAGAAATGCTCATTTCCTTTGAGACTCTAAACCGGATATTTTTTTTCCCGGGAATTGCAGTAAAGAAGGACGCATGAAGAGTATGAATGTATAGATAGATACTCCTGCCGACAAATGGCAATAAATTGCCTAAACCATTTCCGGACAAATTAAATTTTCAAAGAATCAAACATAAGCTCCTATTATAAGATGTAAATTTTTAAACGGATTCATTAGTCATGACTAGCGTCAACAATGCTATAACCCACAAGCATTCATGATTGAAGTCCTACGTAATTTTTATTTTACTATTAGTATTTTTTTGCCCTTCTGAAAAACACGCACGCAAACAGAGGCAATTGAAAATAGAGATTGCAGATGGTACTCAAAAAAAGGGAATATTGAAAACAATAATAAAAAGTATACATCCACTTTGAGCAAAACTGATAAACAGATGATATGACTTGTAGCAACTGAGGTATATCAAAAATGCTTTTAGCATTCCCACCCAAAAAATCAAAGAGAGACCAATTTCTCTGCAGAAAGACTGCATATTACTATAACCTTTCAGAGTTCTAATTAAGGAGCAAGACTCTTTAAGATAGTTATGTAGGACTGGTTGGTGATGCTATACCCTCCATCTATAATGTGGTTGACTCCACTTACAAACTTGCCCGCATCGCTACACAAATACAACGCCGCCTCCGCCACATCCTCCGATGTCGGCACCACCCCTTTCAGCGTCGCCGACGCACAAATGATATCCTCCACCGCACTCTTCTCCAACCCCGTCGCATTCCTAAGCAACGGCGTCGCAACGGCGCACGGAGATATGCAATTTACTCTAATCCCGTATTGACCCAATTCAACGCACAAATTTTTAGTCAACCCAACAATTGCATGCTTGGAAACCGTGTACGAATGCGGAGACTCGCCGCAGCAAACCGAAGCCAGGCTCGAAGTAAAAAGGATGACCCCACTTCTCGCCGGGATCATTACCTTTGCAGCGTATTTGGCACCCAGAAATCCACCGTAAACGTTCACGTCGAAAACCCGTTTGAAGTTCTCGTTGTCGGCGTCGGAAATTGTGAAATCTAGGTTACCCGGGATTCCGGCGTTGTTGTACATGATGTCGAGTTTCCCGTACTCGGACATTGCCACATCGACGAGGTTTTTCACGTCCGAATCGCTTGTGACATCGCAATGGACGTACGTGACGTCTTGGTTTCCGGTGGAGTGCTTGAGTTCTTGGCAGAGGGATTGGCCTAATTTGTCTTGGACATCGGCAATAATCACTTTGGCTCCGTTTTGTAAGAAAAGACGGGCGGTGCTCTCGCCGAAACCACTTGCTCCGCCGGTGATAATAGCAACTTTGCCTTCCAATCTCCTGCATCATTAAAAAAAATAAAATAAAAATTAATGTGACATTATTGCATTGTAAAATGGACCAGACTAGGAGAGAATTATGTTATGGTACGTTTTTTAATTACCTTACAATATTGCTTTGACCATGTAATGATACGGAAGAGATGGAACCATTCATCTTCAAAACTTCTTGGAATGGTGAGACTGGAAGATCTCAACTTCTAACCAATGAGGAGTTATTGCAAGCTTGCTGCTTAGTAGGAGGACATGGCCTGCCAATTTATACTGGTATAAGAAAAATCACCCAAGTAGAACTACTGTTTTTATTTTCCCCTGGCAAAATAGAATAGGAAAAAAAAAAAAGGGACCAATTGACATCAAATACTAGCTGTGATTTTTTCCATCTATGTAAATCTATCTGGTTGACATGTTGGAATGGAAGAGATTGATTGGAGAGTGTAAGAGAAATAATAAATTAGCGCAACTACTACCAGAAATTCGGCACAGTTAAAAATAAACAAGATAATGGAAGGGATCATATCCGAGCCTGCCCCATGTGTTACAAAAATCATCAAGGATCGATATGCAACTTGACTTTTGTCTGACTTCTGTGATGATAGACAGAAATTAATACCTTCTTCAACCTTCCGTGTACGTTTGATTTATTGCATTACATACACAAGAGTAGGCGCGGTTGGAATTTGATAGTATTACGTATTTTGAAGAGGAAAAAATATCGATCTGACTGCGCCATACCCAAAAGAAAATTATGGGAACTAGAATGCTACTTTTAATATAGGGTGCCTTTAATATAATTAAATTCACAACATTGAAATGGCAATTGAGATTTTTAGGCTATTAGTTCCTTAAATACGTATAACATACACTAAGCTATAAAGGAAAATTGGAGTTCAAAAACCTGCTATGTAGTTACCGCTATTTGAATCGCTGTTTAATATTCACGAATGATCTGGCAGGACTGGAGTGACCCATCTGCTGTTCCATGCACCTACCAAATTAACTCCGCATCAGTGACAGAGCAATATACATAGTAGAACACTTGATACAACTATACAAGGCTATGTAACTGAAATTGACGTGTTTTATTTTTGAGTGATTAGGGATGAGGATGGTGGTTGCCAACGGAGGGAGAGAAGGGGAAAAAGCGAAACATAAATAAATAAATAAAATAGAGGACTCACTAATTTTACAGAAGACTAAATTTTGAAAATGGTCCTCTACATTAGACTAAATACATATTTTGGTCCTTTACATTAACATTTGGCTAAAATACTCCTCTATATTTTAGAATGCATTTTTTTTTCTTTGACACTATTCATATACTTCGACCAAATTTGGTATCAAGTCAATAAGGATATTTTCGAAATAAATTTTTTTTAAAAAAATATATTGAATAAAATATTTATATAAATATTAAAATACATAAATTATTGAAAATTGACATTTTAAATTAGATATTTTCTTAAAATAAAATGAAAAATAAAAAAAGTGCATATTCTTGCACATATTTTATATTATTTTTAATTTGGAAGGCTTGGAATGAAATAAAAATATAACTCTTATGAAAATAACTCAAATAAAAAATAATAAAGTTAAAATTTAAGATATCCTCAAATATAATTTCCTATTTTTTTTTATATAATTTTTAACTTATGAGTGGAGAGAACTAGATTTACATAGTAGGTTACGTAAAAAAATTTGAGTTTCTTCAGTTTTTTTACTTCCTAAATGCGAATCATGAAAAATTCTATTTAATAGTTATTATTAATGTATAAATGTGTAATTACGGAGGTTTTTTTCCTACAAAATAAAGTAATAACATAATTATTAAATTAATAATATTAAATTATTGAAAATAACTCCAAACAATTGAATATATAAATTTAATGCTTAAAAACCATAAAAGAATAAATAAAATATAAAAAATGATAATAAACCATATGTTATGGATCTCGTCGGCTGTTTCGTCAATCTTGGTAGGTCGACGTAAAAGTCGACACGAACTTTTCTCCAAAAACTAACAATTTTTTGAGTTTTACTAAAATGTTGACACTTTGAAAATCATAATACGTAAGGAGTTTAGTTTTTGTTGACTTTTCTCATGATTTATACCCGTTAAATTTTTTAAAAATACGAATAAAAGGACAAAAAGCCTTATGCAAATAGTAAAAGTTTTATTTATATATTCAAAAGTGAATCTATAACTTTATTTCTTAAAACCATAAAAGAATAAATAAAATATAAAAAAATGATAAAAAACCATATGTTATGGATATTGTGGACTTGTTCGTCAATATCAGTAGGTCGACAGGAAAGTCGACGCGACAACTTTTCTTTAAAAACTAACATTTTTTTGAGTTTTATTAAAATGATGACACTTTGATTTGTTAAAGTCTATACTAGTATATTACCGTGTATAATTTTTGAAAATCATAATACATAATGGAGTTTAGTTTTTGTTGACTTTTCTCATGATTCGTCCCCGTTAAATTTGTTGAAAAGACGAATAAGAGAACAAAAAAACTTATGTAAATAGTAAAAATTTCATATAATCTAAATTGAATATAGAAATTTATTGCTTAAAAACAATAAAAAATTTCATATAAAAAATGTAAAAAAAAACTATATGTTATGGAACTCATCGACTTTGTCGTTGATGTTAGTAGGTCGACGGAAAAGTCGACGCGACAAATTTTCTTTAAAAACTAATAATTTTTATTACTTTTTTAAAAATGTTGATACCTTGATTGGTTAAAGTTTTATATTACCATGTATAATTCTTGAAAATCATAAAACATAATGGAGTTTAATTTTTGTTAACTATTCTCGTGATTCGTCCACATTAAATTTGTTAAAATGACGGATAAGAGAACAAAAAAGCTTATGTAAATAGTAAAAATTTTATATATTCTAAATTGAATGTATGAATTTATTGAAAACCTAAAAGAATAAATAGAGTATAAAAAATTATAAAAAAACATATGTAATGGATCTCGTCAACTTGTTCTCGATGTCAATAAGTCGACGCTACAAATTTTTTTAAAAAACTAATTATTTTTTGTGTTTTATTAAAATTTTGACACTTTGATTGGTTAAAGTTTTATATTACCATGTTTAATTATTGAAAATCATAATAAATAAAGGAGTTTAGATTTTGTTGACTTTTCTCATGATTCGTCCCCATTAAATTTGTTGAAAAAACAAATTAGAGGACCAAAAACCTTATACAAATAGTAAAAATTTGATGTCTTATAAATTTATTTCTTAAAAACCATAAAAGAATAAATGAAATATATAAAAATGATGAAAAAAACCATATGTTATGGATATTGCCGACTTGTTTGCGATGTTAGTACACGGAAAAGTCGACGCCGCAAATTTTCTTTTAACACCAACAATTTGTTGTGTTTTATTAAAATGTTGACACTTTGATTGTTTAAAGTTTTATATTATCATGTATAATTCTTGAAAATCATATTACATAATGGAGTTTAATTTTCGTTGACGTTTCTCGTGATTCATCCTCATTAAAATTGTTGAGAATATGAATAAGAGGACAAAAAAACTTAAGTAAATAGTAAAAATTTTATATATTCTAAATTGAATATATCAATTTAGTGCTTAAAAACCATAAAAGAATAAATAAATATAAAAAATGACTAAGAACCTCTATGTTATGGATCTCGACGACTTATACGTCGATGTTGGTAGGTCAATGGAAAAAGTCAACGCAACAAATTTTCTTTAAAAACTAATAATTTTTTGAGTTTTATTAAAATGTTGACGCCTTAATTGGTTAAAGTTTTATATTATATTACCATGTATAATTCTTGAAAATTATAATACATAATGAATTTTCGTTTTCGTTGACTTTTCTCGTTATTCTTCCCCGTTAAATTTATTGAAAAGACAAATAAGGGGACAAAAAAACATATGTAAATAGTCAAAATTTTATACCTTCTAAATTGAATCTATAAATTTATTTCTTAAAAACCATAAAAAATTAAATAAAATATGAAAAATGATAAAAAAAAAAAAAAACCATATGTTATGGATCTTGTCAACTGTTTCGTCAATGTTGGGTGGTCGACGGAACAGTCGACGCGAAAACTTTTCTTCTAAAAACTAACAATTTTTTGAGCTTTATTAAAATGTTGACAATTTGATTGGTTAAAGTCCATACTACCATGTATAATTCTTGAAAATCATTATACATACTGGAGTTTAGTTTTCGTTCACTTTTCTCGTGATTTGTCCCCGTTGAATTTGTTGAAAAGATGAATAAGAGAACAAAAAAACTTATGTAAATAGTAAAACTTTTATATATTCTAAATTGAATATATAAATTTAATGCTTAAAACCATAGAAGAATAAATAGAATATAAAAAATAATTAAAAAAACCCATATGCTATGGATCTCGTCGACTCTTTCTTCGATGTTGGTATGTCGACGAAAAAGTCGACGCGAAAACTTTTCTTTAAAAACTAATAATTTTTTGAGTTTTATTAAAATGTTGACACTTTGATTGGTTAAAAGTTTTTTTTTTTTGAAGAAATTGTTTTGTCCACTTCTTGTTTTATTCAACGCGGGCGGTTTACAGGAAAAAGTCAATGAAAGGTGAACTCCATTATGTATCACGATTTTAAGGAATTATACATGGCGCTAAAATAAAATTTAAAAGATTATTTGTTTTTAAATAAAATTAAATTTGGCTTTTCCGTTTATCTTGCCAAGTTGACGAAGAAGTCGACAAGATTAATATATTATTTTCTATAATTTTCAATATTTCTTTATTCTTTTATGATTTTTAAGCAATAAATTTATGAATTCACTTTAGAAGATATAAAATATTGACTATTTGCACAAATTGTTTAGTCCACATTTTTGTCTATTCCAAAACATTGGAGGACACGGTTCTCGAAAAAAGTCAACGAAAGGTAAACTCCATTATGTATTATGATTTTCAAGAATTATACATAGTGCTATAATATTGAACCAATTAAGGTGTCGCTATTTAAATAAAACTCAAACCAGTGTTTGTTTTTTAAAGAAAATTATTCGCGTCGGCTTTTCTGTCAACCTTACTAAGTTGATGAAAAAGTCGAAAAAATCCAAAATGTATGGTTTTCTATCATTTTCAATATTATCTTTAGTATATTATGGTTTTTTAAGCAATAAATTTATGAATTCACTCTAGAGTATAAAAAATATTGACTCTTTGTAGAAACTGTTTTGTCCACTTACTCGTCTATTCCACATTTTTTACGGGCACGATTCACGGAAAAATTCAACAAAAACTATACTCCATTATGTATCATGATTTTCAAGAATTATACATGTTATATTATCATAATTTTAAACCAATTAAAGTATCAATATTAAAATAAAAAGCAAAAAATTATTTGTTTTTTGAAGA